GTTTAGCATATTCTCTTTAGCATTTTTATAAGGCCTTGATGTTAATTTCTTTGCTGTTCTTTAAATTCATCTGTGACCTAAACAATTAGTAGTGAAATTGTATTTATTCCTTCATTCAATAAACATTTACTGAGAGTCTACTGTATACTACGCACTGAGGATAGAGCTCTGAATACAAAAGAACGATTCCCTGCCCTCGTGGTGTTTACATTCAGGTAGCAAAGAGACTAAACAAGTAAATACATAATGCCAAGTAGTGTGGTAAGTGCTCTGAGTAAAACTAAAGCAGATCAAGAGTATAGAGTAGGAAATGTTCACTGTGTTAAATTATCTTAGAGTTATATGTGGCAGGTTCTGGAGTTCCAGTGCTAAGATTTGAATCCCAGGCGAGCGTGTGACCTTAGGCAAGTTACTCTGCACCTCAGTCTTTATCTGTAAAATCTTCATCTGATTGTTGGGTGGGTGAATATAGTTAATACCTACAAAGAGCACTTTAGTAGTTACAACATTTTTTTATACCCCCAACTTCTTATTGAATGCATGTATATATAAGGACATACACACTCATATCTTTGGGGCTATTTTATTACTTTGTAACGACCGTCAGAAGGAAGGGACAGCCAAAAGCCCTGTGTTTAATCCCTCTATTATTCATCAATAGTTCTTGTAGCCAGGCACAGTGGCTCATGCCTGTAATCTCAGCACTTTGGGAGGCCCAGGCTAGAGGATTGCTTGAGGCCAGGAATTCAGAACCAGCCTGGGCAATATAGTGAGATCCCCTCTCTATAAAAAATTTTTTAAAAACTAACAGGGTGTGGTGGTGTGTGCATGTAGTCCTGGCTATTTAGGAGGCTAGGGCAGGAGGATTGCTTGAGCCCAAGAATTCAAGGTTACAGTGAGCTATGATTGCCCCACTGGACTCCAGTCTATATGACAGAATGAGACCGTGTCTTTAAAAAAAAAAAAAAAAAAAAAGTTCCTGTAAAAGTTATATAAAAAACATATTAGAATTATCTCTCTCTTTTTTTTCCTTTTTAGAGACAAGTTTTATCTAAATCAGGCAATCAGAATTTATCCGTAACTAGAGAACTGTTATTCCAGTGGTAATATCTGGGGAAACGAATTAAAAGGTTTTACAACAAGCCTGTATATAACAGAAGAATCTAAAGGAAAAACCTTAAATATTAACAAATAATCCTGTCTTATTGTCAGCGCCTTTGATTTAAACTTTTTCTTACTTTTATCTTTCTAATTAATTTAAAGCCATAATTCAATTTGGGGTGCACTACCATATTAATTTTTAATGGAAATTTCTTCTAATTCTCCCTAGGTTTTACGTCTACTAGATGTTGTCGGTTTGCCTGAACTGGTTATTCAGTTGGCTACCTTAGCAATAACTGAAGCAGGTGATGACTGGAAAAGTCAGGTAAGAACTAACTGTAATTTAGTTGTTTTCCTTAAGGTTCGTAGATGTGGTATTTTAATTTCTTTGCTCTTTTCTGATATTTGATCTAAATTTGATATTTAGGCTACTTTAAGGACATGCATTTTCAAACATCATTTGGATTTGGGTCACAATAGCCAAGCATATGAAGCCTTAACCCAAATTCCTGATTCCAGCAGGTAATCTCATCATCTTTTATTTTAGAGAAGGCAATTTATTGCCCTGTTTAACCTGCTGAGACAGTTTATCCTCATATCCCCTTCCTTCTAGGCAATTAGATTGTTTACGGCAGCTGGTGGTAGTTCTTTGTGAACGGTCACAGCTACAGGATCTTGTAGAGTTTCCCTATGTGAATCTGCATAATGAGGTAATTTTAGTTATTCATTGTTGGCTAGAAACAACTACGGTGATTGCCATGATTGCTACTAACTTTGATATCTGATTGCTTCCCCTTCCTAGGTTGTGGGAATAATTGAATCACGTGCTAGAGCTGTGGATCTTATGACTCATAATTACTATGAACTTCTCTATGCCTTTCACATCTATCGCCACAATTACCGCAAGGGTGAGCAGTTGAACCAGA